CGGGCGTGATCGACCTTGGACGTCTGAGAATCAGGCTATCAGGGTCATTCAGTGCTGTCATCGTCGGCCTATTCTTTCTTTGAACTTGAAATGCGCAAACCTTTGTTAATTAATCAAGAAACTGAGTTAACTTGATTATTTTGCTCCATTTGGTATATTTCTAATATCTAAAATAATCAAGGTCTCGGTAAGTTATATCAGCCTCGACCTTCGTTATTCCGAATATCTTCATCCAATGATTGTTTAAAATGTAGCGTTTCCTGTCTCGTTATAGTACTATGCAGTTGACAACCAGTTCTAAGCAAGCTGGTGGACAGGGTAAGCTTGCTTCTTCAATTTTATCTGCTAACAGAATTATAAGCTTATATGTTAGATGCACGTTAATACACACTTCTATGGCTGTTTATGTGTTCCGCCAAAATAACTAGTGCAATTCGTACAATAAGTACACTGTGTTAGAGCTCGACATGTCCTAATTTATATATATGTCAATTTTAACTCCTTCACAGTTATCCCTTGCTCGGCTTGATTTTATTTTTTCTTTGTCAAGAATATTGATTTTTATTCGGAGAAAATAAGCTTTAGTTCAGCACCGGGCCAAACTTTAGCTCTATTTTTCCTCCAACCATCCAACCTGCTCCTGATCTTGTAGAGCAGACCAAACAGTTGGTTAAAAGTTTGAAATGGTGCATGTAATTATTGGTTTTTAAACTAAACTGATAAAACTATTCCTTTTCTCCAAACTGCAAAACTAGCGAACAAAACCAAAAAACAGCACTAAGTAAAGCCAAGTGTTCAGTGCTAATAACAATTCGATGAACGGTACATCTAACACGTTTAACATTCCCTTTATAGCGGACACTGTAGAGATCTTCAGTTAGTGTCCTCATTTCCGGAGAGTCCGTAAATAGCGGGAGTTTATTTCAGTCAAGCATCTCCGATTTATTTTTGCCTAGGATTTAGCTGCTGTCCGTATTATTGGGGTGTCCGTTGTAGCAGGGTGTCCGTAAGGCGAGAGTTGACTGTAGTGGGTTTGACGATGATAATGATAATGATGATGCGAATGAATAATGATGACGATAATTTATTTATTGATAAACTTCGCCAAGAGGCCTTGATCACTAACAGAGCAATCTCCAGAACGAGGTCCATAATAATAATTACTTTATTTTTACTGCATGAATGGATCAGCTGAATTGATAAAAAACAGCTGGTACGAACCTGACATGCATAATGAAATATTTCAAAGTCCAGGTAAAGGCCAACAAAGGTACAGTCAAATTCCGTTAATACGGACACTGAACTAAGAGGCTAGGGAACGTGACCATAGGTGGAATTTTCTTTATAGTTTACTGGTGTTGAAGTAAAAAATGAGACGAAGTTAATATGTTGATATGTATTATCAGCAGTTCACATTATGTCATTGCCTAGGCAAAAGCCTTCTTCGTATTCGCTTTTTTTTACATCACCAGTCAGTAACGCCATTCCTTAGTGGTGCACCCCCTCCTCTGACTCCTCCCCAGTCGTCTCTCATTTTATTAGTATTTGGTGTGGAAGACTAGAACGGGCCCTTTAAAGAAAGGGGATTACGGGAAGGAAAAAGGGAGAAGGTAGAGACGTCGTCTCCCCTCCTCCCGTTTTCCCATCTTCCCCGCGCGCATAACCCAAGCGCTTCCCTAGTAAATAATTAATGAGTAGAGACAACTTAGAGACGACTGGGGACGAGTCAGCCCCCTCCTAAGAAAAATACAGGATCCGCCTCTGGAATCCACGCGAAGCGCAGGAATGTGAGTAAGGAATTAAAAATGTCAAAGAAGGTCAAGGAGGTCAATGAAATGTGAAATGACCCTTTATTATCTCTTGAAAATAACCTACTACAGAAAACGTAAAACTAACAAAAAAAACATAATCACTGATTTTAAAGCGAAAACTACTGCGTTCTTATACAGATTGAGCTATATCACGCGACTGGCTCAAGGGAGCCCAGGCGGTTTAATAAGCAGCTATATAGTTTATTTTATTTATTATTCACAATTACTCACAATTACTCACTCGCTTTGGAAGTTAAGTCAACGTCACAGCTTACTATGTTTCTCAAGCGTTTCATTTAAAGTTATAACAAAACAGAGACGAACATCGCCGGGGGGGGGGATTCCTTATAAGAGGCTAATGGGGATGTGTCGCTGGATGGGTTCGTATTGTCACGACTGGATTGACTATGATGGGGTCGCACATTTTCGGATTTTTGGGGGTAAGACAGTTCTTCATATTCACGGTTAGCAAACGTACCAGAATGTTTGTTCTGTAGGTGAAAAGTAAAGTGTTTTTCATTCAATTTAAAAAATGGGTCAATTCATAAAAAACAAAAGTGGCTAAGTTGGGATCGCGGAAATTACATATTTGTCCCAAAGTGATTGCGGTGGGGTCTATAATTGGCCACAGAATAGACTATAATGGGGTAGGGGCTCTGAGAGGCTAGCGGCACATGCCCAGCAAAAATTAACCCATTATTAGTACCCCCCACCTCCCCCCACTCTCCGTGGGAACGTCTCCTTAAAAATTAGGTAGCCACGTCACACTGTGCGAATTCAAGTCGTGACATTAAAATGTCCGAAAAACAAACACTAACAATTAAGCAAAACGTTTTTTCTTGAACTTAGTGCTCTGGTGGCACATTCTCTACTTCTTTAACTCGACTCGTGAATCTTATTCCTGGAGGATTGGCTGGGTCTCCTGTCCTGCTATTCCGTCGTTTACTCCTGCATCATTCTGCGCCTTCCTTCTAACCTGCAAAGAAAAGTAAATAAATCCTCTATTTAGACGGCTAGGGGCTTATTTATTTCAAACACCTTTAAGGAGAGCTTATTTGAGAGGCGGGGTGTTTTATTTTATTTAGCACAGACGATGGTATCCGCAGCTCTCCTTAAAGAACTACAGAATACAAAGTGGAAATGCTTAAAGTACAAGAAGTTGAAAGTCGTGCAGCCGAGGGTCAAAAACAAATTCGGAATCCCGGATCAGTTCAAACGAACGTTTACAGTCGTGATTGACTAATACAGTCTATCATTTATTAAAAATCAAACACAAACAATGGTGATAACCCATTGTGATCTTTCGCATTTGCTTATGAACTTGCATTGACGTTTCGTATGTTAGTCAAGATACAGTTTCAAAAGATATCTGAAATTTATAACAACAGGGGATAGGCGGCTTAAAAGAGAGGAGGGCTTGTTGGGCGGGGGGGGGGGGGTTTTAGAGAGGGGGGGGGTTTTGGGGGGGGGGGATAAGGGGAAAAAAAATGTAAAAGAAAAATTAAATAGTAGAAAGGTGTGGGAGGAATGACAGAGGGGGAGGGTATTGAGAGGGGAGTAATAAAGGAAAAAAAATGTAGAAGGAAAATTCAATAGTAGTGAAAAAAAAAAAAAAAGGAAGGAAGCAAGTCGCTCCAGCGTAGTCTCCTTCGCAGCCGTTTTTAGTGTTGTCAGTCAAGGCTCCTCCCTCCCCACAAAAGGAGCGTTACGTGACGACCCTAAAAACGGCTGTGAAGGATACTACTCTAGGGTTGATCTCTCTAACCTGGAGTCCTAGAGTGTTCAAAGTAACGGTTAAACCTCAGTACGAATGAGGTTCTATTCTATGCTCAAAGGAATCTGGCGTTGCCAGTCAATATTTAACCGAAGTTACTCAAAGGTCCAATAGGCCTTAGGCAGCCGCGTGCGAAATTACAGTGTTTCTATGAGAATCTAATATCGAACAATTTCCGTAAAACGGCTGTCATGAAAAAATATGAATTGTA